TTCAGATGAGGTGGGGGGGTGTAAGTGTTTTGTTCAAGGTCACTTCGACACTTGAACTGCCGGCACTGAGATTCGACCCTTCAACCTGCTGGTGGGAGACGACTGCTCTACCCACTGCACCACTGTCACCTCCCAGAACAAAACAGTGTGTAGAGAGCTTCATGGAATGGGGCTCCATGGTCGAGCAGCTGCATCCAAGCCTTACATCACCAAGTGCAATGCAAAGCGTCGGATGCAGCAGTAAAGCACACCGCCACTGGACTCTAGAGCAGTGGAGACATGTTCTCTGGGTGACGAATCACGGTTCTGTGTCTGGCAATCCCACGGACAAGTCTGGGTTTGGCGGTTGCCAGGAGAACGAAACTTGTCTGACTGCATTGTGTCAAGTGTAAAGTTTGGTGGAGGGGGGATTATGATGTGGGGTTGTCTTTCAGGAGCTGGGCTTGGCCTCTTAGTTCCAGTGAAAGGAACTCTTAATGCTTGTCTAGATCCTGCAGAGATCTAGTCAAAGCCACTTTCTGTCTGAAATCTGTTGACTAAATGCTGTTTTACATTTCAACAGTAGAAGAATAATTTGGGAATTATTATATTTGCGGCAAACTCCAGTCTGATTTTTCAAATTTACAGTTGATCTGACTGTTGAACTGATGTGTAGAAGAAGATCTGCACTGGTCTGCAACGTGTTCAGCTTTAACTGTAACAAAACAATCAATATTTAATAAAACTGATTATTGGTTTTGACCTTCTAGCAACAGAAATGAGCCGATACTGGAGTCAGCACTGAGTTCTGATGACGTGTTCACTGACCAGCTGCAGAAATTCACCTGTGAAAATGAGACTGTACGGTTTTAGGAAAGAAGGAATTTCTTTTGTGTCCTGGTGTTTGTGAAATGAGACTGTTTAAACACACACATACAAAGGCACCAAATAAACTAAAATCTGAGCACTGAAGAGAAGTAGCAGGAGAAATGAATTTTTACTTCCCCAAAACACACTGAGACCAAATCAAACTCCAGCGGCCCCCGGCCTGCTGATCTCCCCCCAGCTCTGCAGGTGCTCAGCACCAATCCTGATGATGAATGGAGGCGCACGGTTGAGACCGCACGGCATTCCAGCTCGAGTCTGTTCCCTTTTACTTTTCTACTCGGGCTCCACTGCTGCTCAACCTTTCTTACACTAAACACTGCTGTTACATGCCTGATTTTGTTGGTCATCTCCAGATATAATCAGGGTTTCACCACTTTCATACCTGTCGATTGGGCAAATGGGTTCATACACAGTTCAACTGTTTGGTTTGTGGAATATGAGGTTCATCCATTTGGCCACATTTCCACAGTGATTCACAGGCAACTTTATTCATTATGATACTAACTATAGAAAGAGACATGAGTGCAGACATGCACAGTTTTCTAAGTCTGATCAGTAAACCCTGAGCTCTGGTTTATAAATGAGCCTTGACTGAGTCAGCGGGTCAAAGGTCAACCACTTCTTCCAGCCAAATGCTCAATCTGTGTTTAACTCTTTATGGCACCTGATTGGTCGACACTGAACACAAAGGAGGAGGAATCCTCCGAGCAAACGCACACTACTGTTTGCCCTGTCCCTGGACTGTTAAGGCTGCGCTGATGCTGAGCCCTGCAGGACAAAACACAGCCTCTGATTCATCTGAATGGAGTCAGTCCACTGACACAGCAGGCAATGCAAGGCTGTTCAGGAAAATGCTGACTGGATGTGGCAACATAGAGAGAGGGCTGTGATGAAACAAGACCGGGTCACTTGGCCAAACTGTGTGAAAACTTCCCATTTGTAAGCATAAATATAAACTTTAATAATAATCACACCTCTATTTGGCCAAGTATGTTACACCCAAGGAATTTGTTTCTGGTACAGAACTGAGGCAGCCATCTGCCTAACACCTAACCCTAACATGTGGACTGCAGGCACCGTAATTTCTTTAACCTGAAATGATGTTAACAGTCCTTGGTTCTCTAACCCTTTACTGCTCCGTCTCCTCTTTGATTCTGCAGGAAGAGATTTCAGACCCGCACAAACGTGATAGTTGGATCTCGCAGATACCACAACTCATGGTGACTTTAGTTTCAACACACTCCACAGATCACTGCATCTGACCTGTAATTGGCTCGTAGAGCCTGTAGCTCCGCCTCCAGCTGCCGCCGGTCCTCCAACGCTCTGTCTCTCTCTCTCTGCAGCCTCAGCAGCTCGGCCTGATTGGATAAAACACATGTCAATCACACTCACCTCAGTGAGGTCCACCTGAGCAGGGTCACATCAGACACACAACCCAGGACACGCTGAGACCATGATGCTGATTGTTTTGTTTGCATAGAGAGTAAATCTGCTCTGAGAGTCACTGTCGCTCAAACTAAACCTGAAATCCCTGATTCAACCTGAAGATTTAAACATTAACACTTTTGTGCTGCGCTAATTGTCTCGTGTTTGTTAAGTGTGTTTGTGCGGTGAGACATGAGCACAGGTCTGTATTGAAACAGAGATCAAGATCTGATCTCAGCGAGACAATCTGTTTAAATACAGGATTAATTAACTAGCCAACTAATTAACTCACGAGTGTCAGCACACTTCATAAAAAGGATCTGATTTTTATCAGCATGTATTTAGCTCCTGGTTTACTAAAGCACATTATCAGTGTCAGCTCCTGGACTGAAACTCCAGGTGCATTCTGGGAATAAAAATGCTCAACAGATGCACTTTACTAGTGGGGTTTCTGAGTTTATCAAGTTCAGCACCACTAAAATCACCATATAAGGACTTCCTGTTCTGCTTCGTTAGCAGCAGAGTTTCTTTCAGAGCCTGACAGTTCTGAGCGTCAAGTCAGAAACCAGCAGACTAAAGCAGAACAAAAGGACCAGAGTCAGTGCGGTGTTAGGACGTGTTACCAGTCCGCGTGTCAGTGACATGTCCTCAGAGCAGCTGGGGCAGAAAGACAGAGGGGACGTTCAGGCCACAGGAAGTCAGACCCTGACAACCACCTGCATACAGCGAAGCCCTCCCTGGCTAGTGTGAGGCATCAGGGGGCTGACAGTCACTGAGAATATTCCAGCTGCAGTCGGCGCTGTTCCACTATCACGTCTTAGAACAGAGGGGGAGACTGAACCGAGACCTGCACAGAGACCTGAAGCCGCCACAGCACAAGACTGGCTTCACACTGACAGGTAGAAGCTGCTGGGACCAGATGTGATAGCTCTCAGAGAAGTGGCAGCTGTGGTGGTGGTGACCCAGTGAACACAACAATGGCTTTGCTGCAGGTTTGTCAGAGCTATATCCAGAGTAGTAAAGCAGTTCTTGAAAATGTTTCAGCTCTCATCCAAGAAGCAGCTTCAGCTCTGACTGGTGGGGAGTCCCAGGTTTCTGTGAGGTCCCCCCCCCAAACATGGTGTTCATCAATAATCTGTTAGTGAATAACCACGAGTATAGTACTAATAAATACAATGTCTGTCTTCATAAGAATAATTTTTAGTTATATAATTCAACCTTTAATTCACATTTCTTTTCTCACCACAGCCTGACTCGTGGTCATCTGCTGTATTTTTACAATGGCTTTCAATCGGACTCACAAATTGTGTGATTTTAGTAAACTTACACCTGTTATCGATGTGAACCTCTTTCTGATACACACGGGTAAGAAGAAAATATGTTGGTGTACGTCACAAACACAAACTACGGGCAAACTGTGAAAACCTAGCTGACAGAGGAAACCCCAACAGCCCAAAGGCCTTAAAACATGAGTGAAAGTGAAACACAGGTGGACTCCTGCAGCACCTCCTCCTGCTGCTGCAGGAATCGAACCTGCTACAGGACGGTGCATCTCACTGTGTTGCTGGTCAAGCTGTGTGAAGGCCGGCTCCAGCAGGGATGACAGACCTGATCCTGACCTCCCCACCCCCTATGCTAATTAAACCCCTCAAGGTCTGGGAGTTTAAAGTGAGACATCAAAAGAGAAACCAAACCCAGTGAGTCAATATGTGTCTTCTCCAGCCGGGCCAGAGGAGACGCTTCAAAAGAGCCGCCGATTTATTAATCAGAATAATTTCCAAATGAGATGATCAGCAAGCAGGAGCAACGCCGAGCTGACCTTTAACATGAGGAGTTAAGGTCAACGAAGGAGCAGGGAGCGGAGGCAATAAAACTCACCAGGCTGGACCTTTAACAGGAGGAGGAGCAGGAGGAGGCTGGTTGAAGATGTGAAAATGAAGGGGGGTTTGAGGAGGACAAGCGGTGAATGAAAGGAACCAACGGTGACCTTTAACATGATGCGTTAAAGGAACAGTTTGCATGGCCCCCCCCCCCAGCAACAGGTAATTGAAGTTCAGGCTTTGATCAGAGTTCATTTACTAACTCACAGATGGTACTACGGCCTTAACTACTGTGTACCGCTACTGCTGCAACGAGTACTGCCCTTTCTACAGGACTAATACTAATACTGCTACAGCCCCAGCTGCCGATGTTACCACTAGTAGGGGTGTGATAATACGTGAAACCATACACGATACTGGGTTCACGAGAACAAGAGGAGAGGATATTTTAGTACGGTTTTCCACAAATCTTCAATGACCAAATAAAGGACTGGAAAAACTGTCTCTCATTCGACTGAAAGTTACAAAATGCAAAAGAGTGCAGGTGCATTATGAAATGCTTTAACTAATCATATTGTCCTGGCCGTCCCTTCAGTTCTACGCCCTGAGTGTGAATGATGACGTGCAGTAAAAGACGACAATGTGCAGCCACTGTAAAAGGTTCGGCCACAGACTCAGCTGACCGACTTCTCTCCTGTAGGATTTCATGAGTCTCTTCAGACTTTAAGACTGTGCATGACCTGTGCATGGGCTTCTTAGGCCGTGCTCAGACAGATTCAAAGGTGTGAAAAAAATGCAGCACTCCCCATTCATTCCTGTGGGGTTGTGTTCACCGCAGGGGGCTCCGGCAAAATAATTTGCTTTCATAGCAAATTCTTAAACTGATGCTGTCTTCTTTTAGTCTGACGACTCAAACTTCCAGTTGCAATTCAGCTCTTTTCACAGCTGTAACTTGAAGAACAAAGCCTTGTGTATCCTCCAGGCGGATGCAAATAGCTGTAGACGTGCTTCAGTACACACAACAATCAAGGATACGCAGACTCATTCACACGTGGGCTCTAGAAAACAAGATGGTTGGTTGAATCTGGCTGAAACACGAAAACAGTAAAAATAGAAGGCAGTGTGCGCCATTTCCGCCAACAGGACCAAGGGTCCAGTGCCAACACAGGAGCTCACATGGAGCTTCACACACTTGGGCCAAAATTTATGTAACACAATCACATGGAGTCACAAAACATGAACATGACTGTATTACATGAGCTCCTTTAGTGCTCCTGCCCACATTTCAGACTCTGTCAGGTGACACCTCAGTGTTTACACTGTAGTTCCCTTCACTGCAGGTATACAGGACATATACAGTTTTATGCAAAAGTGTAGGCACCCCTTGATAAATAACAGATTTTGGTGATTTTTTATTTGAACAGATGTTAACACAGTTTCTCTTGGAAATGGAAAAAATGCACAATATTTTCAGCAAACAGTGATGCATAGTTACTTCTTATGCCATAAATTGAACAAAAATAAAAAATAAAAACATTATTATGGCATGGTGCAAAAGTTTGGGCACCCTAAGAGTTCCAGAGTCTCAAAGTCTCTCACAAGGTTTCAGACCTTAATCAGCTCATTAGATCTGATGCACAGCAACAGCTGTCATTGGTAAATGCCAATTTCAAAGCTGTACAAATACCTTGACTCTTCAAACCTTGTGCACACACTTGTGGACACCCAGCAACCATGGGTTCCTCTAAGCAGCTGTGTAAGACCCTGAAAATGAAAGTTATTGATGCCCACAATGCAGGAGAAGGCTACAAGAAGATAGCAAAGCGTTGTCAGCTTGCAGTTTCCACAGTAAGAAATGTAATTAAGAGATGGCAGATCAGGGGAACTGTGGAGGTCAAGATGAGATCTGGAAGACCAAGAAAACTCTCGGACAGAACTGCTCGTATGCTGGTCAGAAAGACAAATCAAAACCCCCATTTGACTGCAAAAAACCTGCAGGAAGATTTAGCAGACTCAGGAGTGGTGGTGCACCGTTCCACTGTGCAGCGATGCTTGCACAGACAAGGCCTTCATGGAAGAGTCAGCAGAAGAAAACCTTATCTGCGTCCCCATCATAAAATCCAACATCTGAAGTATGCAACAGGACATCTACAGAAGCCCGATGCGTTTTGGAAACAAGTGCTGTGGACTGATGAAGTTAAAATAGAACTCTTTGGACACAATCAGCAAAGGCATGTTTGGAGAAAAAAAGGAGCAGCATTTCATGAAAAGAACACCTTGCCAACTATTAAGCATGGGGGTGGATCTATCATGCTCTGGGGTTGTGTTGCAGCCAGTGGCACAGGAAACATTGCACGGGTGGAGGGAAGAATGGATTCCACTAAATACCAGCAAATTCTGGAAGCAAACATCACACCATCTGTAAAAAAGCTGAAGCTGAAAAGAGGATGGCTTCTACAACAGGACAATGATCCTAAACATACCTCGAAATCCACTATGGAATACCTCAAGAGACGCAGGCTGAAGGTTTTGGAATGGCCATCACAGTCCCCTGATTTAAACATCATTGAAAATTTGTGGGTAGATCTTAAAAGAGCTGTGCATGCAAGACGACCAAAGAATATTACAGAACTAGAAGCCTTTTGCAAGGAAGAATGGGAGAAGATCCCAAGTACAAGAATTGAAAGACTTTTAGCTGGCTATGAAAAGCGTTTGCAAGCTGTGATATCTGCCAGAGGAGGTGTTACTAAGTACTGATTGTGTAGGGTGCCCAAACTTTTGCACCATGCCATAATAATGTTTTTATTTTTTATTTTTGTTCAATTTATGGCATAAGAAGTAACTATGCATCACTGTTTGCAGAAAATATTGTGCATTTTTTCCATTTCCAAGAGAAACTGTGTTAACATCTGTTCAATCAGACTGTCACGATGTCAGAGTTGGATGCTTGTTCTGCTCACTTTGACACAAACTTCAGCTGTGAAAAAACAAACCCTGGTTTCAGGACTCACACTTCAGGCAACAACTGGCATCTCTGGTTGAAATGCTTGAAAGATCTAAAGTTCTGGTTTAAAGGTCTGGGTCCTGGTTTCTTCTTGGGGGGCTTCAGTGGCTCTGCGACTGTCAGTTAATTTAAAGGCAGCTGTTGGTGTTTAAGTGAAAAATTAAAAACCTCTCCAGGCTCTAATCTCCCAGAGCCCTCCAGCCTAATTAACAGCCTTCACTGAGAAAAAGGAGCGAGTGCTACATTAATAACCAAGTCTAATATGTTTGACAACAGATGCGACGAGGAATGCAGAGAATATGAGGAACAAAACCACCAGACTCTACTGAGAATTCTACTGAGTCTGATTTCAGATGTCTCTGAGCTGTTAGCTTCTACCACAGAGAGACTTCTCCTCTCAACCTCTCACAGTTTAGTTGATCCAGTGTGTACCCAGCTTTTCCTGATTCAAACCAAGTCTGAACCTCCACCCTGCCCAAAATGTCCTCACAAAGATAAACATACATACAGCACGGCAGCGGAGCCCAGATGTAAATGTTCTGACACAGCTATAACCAACCTCCACCTTTGGTTTCTGCTGGAACATCCACGCCGGCACCTCTGCATCCTGTTAACACTGGCTGAAAACCTTCCACTCGCTTGTGCTGCACAGGGCGTAAAACAAATGCAGCCTATGTGCTGAAGCAGCACAGTAAACACTGCAGGAGTTGCTATCTTTAATTACAAGCCCTGGTTCAGGATCAGTCCAGGACTCAGTCGAGACATGTGCCGTACAAACTCTGAGGCAGAAAACTCTTCTAAAATCTAAACACAAGACTGGAACCTCCCGACTAACACTGTGTGACAACTGCACTGGTGGTGTGTCTCTGTCGGGTTTGTAGACTCAGCAGTAAAATGCTCAGAGGTTCAAGGTGACTTCTAGTCTCCCAGAGGAACTACTACTGCCTAAAAACCAAACATGCCCAAACAACACATGAAACAAAAATGAAAAAATAAGAGCACAGAAACCAGCCTGAGATAAAACAATCCAACACATTGATTTGTTTAAATCTACAGGCATGTTCAGAGACAAACACACCTGACTGTACCTGCTGACAACCACAGACCAGACCAGGGCAAACCTGTAGATATCTGAGCGCCCCCCTTCTGACCATGCTCCAGGAACTGCTCATTAAGATGGCAGCTGATCAAAGCGTTTCTAACTAACACGGTCACACAGCGGGACCCTGGCCCTCCTCATCCCAGTTCACCATACGAGAGGGGTCAGGACCCCGTTGGCCTGCTGAGTGGTGGACTGCTCTGGACTGTGTGTGTGTGTGTCTGACGTTTTGCGTCTGGTCCACTGATGACCGGCCTGTGATACTGAACTGGGGCTGAGAAAGAAAATGCTGATGAACTATGAACAACTGTTGACATATCTGTGATGTTTAAACTAATTAATTCAGTTTTGTGCTTCTGTTATTTTCCAAATATTGATCTATAATAAAAACCAAACAGATCATATCCGATTCACACATGCTTGCCTTGTTTGCCTAACAAGTTGTTGGCAAACAAACGCCACAGCGTCTCCATGGCATGTTGCCATGACAGCAGAGCAGACATCCCATCATCACCATTCAACACAGAGACGCCAGCTAATGCAACAGAGACAGTGTGTTTACCTGGATCGGCCTCTGCTCTCGCTCCTGCATCAGATCCTGCTCCAGGCGTTTACACTGCAGAGAAACACAATCAGGATCATTGATCAGTTTGATCAGTACAAACCCCACAAACATCAGAGTGGTTTGAAAAAGTTTCTACATTTTCATTACTGTGAATAGGTAAAGAAGAAGAAGATACACTGATCCCCAAAAAGGCAGGGAACTAGAGATGAAACACTTCAACACTGTGTATTATCTTTGTTTTGTTCAATTTCAGAGTGCCATGCAAACATCTGGGCACCCTGAGAGACTCGAGCTCCCAGGTAATTTTTACCAAGATCTCAGACCTTAATTAGCTTGTTTGCCGTTGTTAGGAAAAATCAGGAGATGCACATTTCGAAGCTTTATAAACAATCTGACTCCTCAGACCTGGCCCAAACAGTCAGCAGCCATGGACTCCTCTAAGCAGATTCTAGCCCTGCAACAATGAAAATAACTGATGCCCACAAAGCAGGAGAAGGTTATAAGAAGATAGAAGAGTGTTGTCATGTTTCCTCTGTTCGTTATGTAAGAAATGGCATTAACAGGAACCGTCAGGGTGAGATCTAGAAGACCAAGAAAACTTTGAGAGAGCTGCTCATAGCAGTACTAAAAGGGCACATCAAAACCCTATTTGACTGAAAAAGCCCTTCAGGAAGACTGAGTAGGCTCTCGAGTGATGGTGCACTGTTCTGCTCTACTGCTCATATATGACCTTCCTGGAAGAGTCATCAGAAGAAACTTTCCTGCATCCTCAACACAAAATTTAGCATCCGAGGTTTGCAAAGGAACATCTTAACAAGCCTGATGCATTTTGGAAACAAGTCTTGTGGACTGATGAAATTAAACAGAAGACTGGCCACAAGGTATGTCTGGAGAAAACGGTGGAGATGTAAATAAAAGAACCCCCCTCCAACTGTTGACCACAGAGTGGAGCGATCATGTGCTGGGCTTGTCTTGCAGCCAGTGGCATGGCAGCATTTCACTGGCAGAAGGATGAATGGATTCAATTAAATACAAGCAATTTCTGAAAGTAGACACATCTAAAAAATCTGAAGATGAACAGAGGATGTCTTCTACAACAGGATGATGATTCTGAACACACCTCAAAATCCACCATGGACTAGTTCAAGAGGTGCAAACCACAAGTTGGTGTCCGACCAGACTGAGTAACAAGAAGTGCCTCGGTCAGGGAGGAGACCAAGGACCCAACGCAGAAGTCCTCTGCAGAGGTGGAGAAGCTGCTGTAGGACAACCAGGTCAGCAGCTCTCCATCAGTCAGGCCTTTGTGGTAGAGGATGGACAGAAGCCACTGTGAGTGAAGTTGCTTGGACTTTGTCACACTGCAGTTAAAGGCTCTGAGAGCAGGAGGACAAAGTCTGTCTGGTCTGAGGAGACTCCACACACCGTGATTGAACAACACTGATGTGTTTCTACATCTGTAGCTTTTGCAGCGTGTTTCAAATGTTAGAATCAACCTTAAAGTATGACTTTGTTAATAATTTTACCCAACACTTTCCTTTACATAAGTGCCAATGACATAATTAGAAGGTGCTCCTAAGTCAACTGTGACACAGAGCACTGTGAAACAAGCTACTGCCAGTGCTTCATCAGCATGTTTCGCAGTGGCAGTTCCAGACTAATGTTCCAGCATCGATCTAGAGCTACGCATCACCTGTTGTGTTGCCTTGAGGATGTGGCATTAGCTTGTATGTGTATTGTATGTGCTCCCAGCTCTCAGACTCCCCCCTGTGTTTTACACCATTAAACCACAGACACAAAACGTCCCATGAGTCTGAAACAAAGAAAGTGTGTGGACATCATCTCTCAGGTCAAAGGTCAATAGCTCTTTAACATTTAGCACAAATTCAGAGAAGTCAAGTAGGGTCAGGCAGGTGTTTATTTCTTGCCCTCTGTGGTCACAGTTAAAATCCACACCGCACTTCTTCCTCGCCCCCACTGATCCGAGGCTATAAGACACATTGTTCAAACTAGTATGGCTCATTTCAAAGACAGACCGTGGAGGCTCCCCGTGCAGGTCCAACCCAGGACGGGAGTGGACCTGTTAGACCCAAGAGGCCACGTTCTGCATCACAGAAAGAAGGAGACAAAGAATGAGGCAAAACCAGGGTTAACATCAGTTTGGCATGTCGGAGATGGAGAGCACTAAAAGCATCAAAAGGACTAAAGTTTGACGTAGTTGTGTCTTTTTTTCCTGCTAGAAGCTAAGCACTGTAGCTGGTTAACCTGTATATGTCGGCATCACTAGCAAGCTAACGTTAGCTTCTCAGTTTTGTAGCTTTGTGTCAAATTATTCTGGTCGTAATTTGGAGTCATTCCAACTGACTGCAGTGTTAATGATTTGTTGTCCAATTAGTGGAAACCAGTGCATTTTCCTGGATTAGTAAATGAAGTAATTTTGTACATTTTTGCTCAGTTTTGGTCCAGTTCATGTAGCATTTTAGTCAGAAGTTGTTAACATTTACGCCCTCAACACAACTAGAAAAGTGGGAGTTTAACAAATCATAACATGAAATTTCTCATTTCACTACTCACAGTTACAGTGCCTTGCGAAAGTATTCGGCCCCCTTGAACTTTGCGACCTTTTGCCACATTTCAGGCTTCAAACATAAAGATATAAAACTGTAATTTTTTGCGAAGAATCAACAACAAGTGGGACACAATCATGAAGTGGAACGAAATTTATTGGATATGTCAAACTTTTTTAACAAATAAAAAACTGAAAAATTGGGCGTGCAAAATTATTCAACCCCCTTAAGTTAATACGTTGTAGCGCCACCTTTTGCTGCGATTACAGCTGTAAATCGCTTGGGGTATGTCTCTATCAGTTTTGCACATCGAGAGACTGAAATTTTTGCCCATGCCTCCTTGCAAAACAGCTCGAGCTCAGTGAGGTTGGATGGAGAGCATTTGTGAACAGCAGTTTTCAGTTCTTTCCACAGATTCTCGATTGGATTCAGGTCTGGACTTTGACTTGGCCATTCTAACACCTGGATATGTTTATTTGTGAACCATTCCATTGTAGATTTGGCTTTATGTTTTGGATCATTGTCTTGTTGGAAGACAAATCTCCGTCCCAGTCTCAGGTCTGTTGCAGACTCCATCAGGTTTCCTTCCAGAATGGTCCTGTATTTGGCTCCATCCATCTTCCCATCAATTTTAACCATCTTCCCTGCCCCTGCTGAAGAAAAGCAGCCCCAAACCATGATGCTGCCACCACCATGTTTGACAATGGGGATGGTGTGTTCAGGGTGATGAGCTGTGTTGCTTTTACGCCAAACATAACGTTTTGCATTGTTGCCAAAAAGTTCGATTTTGGTTTCATCTGACCAGAGCACCTTCTTCCACATGTTTGGTGCGTCTCCCAGGTGGCTTGTGGCAAACTTTAAACGACACTTTTTATGGATATCTTTAAGAAATGGCTTTCTTCTTGCCACTCTTCCATAAAGGCCAGATTTGTGCAGTATACGACTGATTGTTGTCCTATGGACAGAGTCTCCCACCTCAGCTGTAGATCTCTGCAGTTCATCCAGAGTGATCATGGGCCTCTTGGCTGCATCTCTGATCAGTCTGCTCCTTGTATGAGCTGAAAGTTTAGAGGGACGGCCAGGTCTTGGTAGATTTGCAGTGGTCTGATACTCCTTCCATTTCAATATTATCGCTTGCACAGTGCTCCTTGGGATGTTTAAAGCTTGGGAAATCTTTTTGTATCCAAATCCGGCTTTAAACTTCTCCACAACAGTATCTCGGACCTGCCTGGTGTGTTCCTTGTTCTTCATGATGCTCTCTGCGCTTTAAACAGACCTCTGAGACTATCACAGTGCAGGTGCATTTATACGGAGACTTGATTACACACAGGTGGATTCTATTTATCATCATTAGTCATTTAGGTCAACATTGGATCATTCAGAGATCCTCACTGAACTTCTGGAGAGAGTTTGCTGCACTGAAAGTAAAGGGGCTGAATAATTTTGCACGCCCAATTATTCAGTTTTTTATTTGTTAAAAAAGTTTGAAATATCCAATAAATTTCATTCCACTTAATGTTATGCAACACTGAACGCAATGAGATAGAACATACTGTATTAATATTATATAATCTATCTATAAATTTCTTGTGTTTCTGCAGATACATACGCTACAAACAACGTTAGACATAATATAGATATGGCTAAAATGTAAACCTCTTTATTTGACACTGTAGCTGCAGAGACACTGAAAACCACAGGCTCCATGTTCCCTATACGCTGGTTCTGGAGCCGGTTATTACTGCTGCTCTACCCGACTGCCACAACTGTGACCACATATGATGTAGTTTCAGAGAAAGGGCAGGAGGGATGAAGAGCAATGGAGGGAGAAGAGGAGGGGATACTGCTGGAGTTTGTTTGGACTCTCACTTCGCACTTAGCGGTCAAAAATTAGAGGGAGAAATTAGTTAATGCAGATGTAAAACTAAAGCTTCACATGAACACAAACAGAGGCAAACATCAGACATGTTGCTTTGATGGCAGCAGCATTTAATCATCAGTTTGGACAGACTCATGTTGTGAAGTCAGTGATGCAGAAGGCATCAGCGTGAAGCTGTTGTCTGTATGTGTGATTGTGTGACTCTGATCTGGAAGGAGCTCCCTGGTGGAAAACAGGACACACATGTAACTGTGAGGATGATGATGTGTGTTAATACACACTGCAGTGTAACGCAGCAGCAAGTGTCATCACGAGTGTCGGTCTGTGTCTCCATGTTCTTGTCGGGTCACTTTTATTTACACAAAATCACACACGTGCCTCACGAGGCTCTAATGCCACGCCATCACAGCCTCAGTGTGGTCAAAGAAATCAACCACAGAAACCAGGCGCACAGTTAGATCAACATGTTACAAGATGTTCTGACCAGGTTCTTTTAGCCCCCAGTCTGATCACAGTTATCGGCTGATACAGACACTTTGATTGACCTCATTTAAATCTGTATCTGACACAGTGAGACAGCAGCTGTCTACTACGTTGGGGGGTGGAGT